GAGAATAAGAATGTGAGCGTGATTTAAAAATGAGTGGAAGAAGATAAGTGAAGATATGACCTAAAGAAAATTGGGCAGCCTTCCGGTGTAACCTCTCTTAAGAGGTATTACCAGAGACAGGGAAAAGCACTAGGCTCAAATCCTTGGTACCCGAAGGATTTGGAAAGTGGAGTTACAGGATTGAACCTATAACTATGTCACTAAACTAAAAAAAACCCCTTAAAGTGATCAATAGAGAATAAGGAGCGAATAGGGCTAATATGAGGATGTGGGAGAGATAAATTAATGTGGGAATAGAGCGGACAAGGGGGTATGAGATTAGGGCTGATAGGAATGATGAGATGAGAGGGGGTGGATATGGTATGATGAGATGAGCGCGGGCAGATGGAGGTTAGAAAGATGAATGGGATAGGAGCAGATATGGTATGATGAGATGAGAAGGGGTGGATGGAGCTTAGAGGGATGAGTGGGATGGGGGTGGATTGGTGGCAGGGAGTAAGACGAGGTTGAGAGAAGACGAACAGAGAGAGAGAGAGAGGGTGAGATGAATGCAGATGGGTGAGAGGGCGAGATGAGAGTAGATGGGTGAGAGGACGAGAAGAGGGCGGATGGGTGAGAGGGCGTGATGAGAGCGGATGGGTGAGAGGACGAGATGAGGGCAGATGGGTGAGAGAAAGTGAGATGTGGGCGGATGGTTGAGGGGGTGGGAGATGAGGGCAAGAGATGGCGGACGGAGAGAGAGGGTGAGATGAGATCAGGCTAGCCCTAAGTACAGGTTCGTGTCTGGGAAAGGAGAGAGAGAGAAGAAAAAAAAAGTGAAAAGAGGGAAAGCTCAAACGTACCTAGGTCCAAGCAGGAGGAGAGAGCGAGAGAAAGAGAGAAAGAGAAAAGAAGAGAGAGAGGAGAGAGAAAGAGAGAAAGAAGAGAGAAAAGGAGAGAAAGAAGGGAGAGAAAGAGAGGAAGAAGAGAAAATAGAAAGAAGAGAGAGAAAAGAAGAGAGAAAAAAGAAAGAAGAGAGACGAGAGAGAGGAGGAAGAGGAGAGATAGTAGACCTAGAACGAGCTTGAGTCTAGGTGCACCTTCATCGATCTCTTTGCATGTACATCAAAGAGAGATGTTTAAGCCTTAGGTGTATGGTTCAGGTATGTTAGGTTGAGGTGTAGTGTATAGGAGCTAGTGTGCATGGTATAAGGTAAGGTGTAGGATAATTAAGGCATAGGATAGGATAAGTTATATGATATACTATGGTGTGTGGTGCAGGCTAGGGTGTACACTAGCTAAGGTAGGGTGTAGGGTGTATGGAATACGATGGGAAGCTAGGGGTTCTAGGGTGTATGGAAGCTAGGAGTTCTAGGGAGTATGGGTTTGGGAGTTGGGAATCCTAAAGGAATTGAAATTTTGGGGTTTTAGGAAGTATAGGGTTCTAGGGATATTTTCTCTCTCTATGAATTGTTTCTCTCTCTTCTTGTCTTGAATCTTGAACTTGAAAGAAAAGCAAAAGAACAAGCTAAGAATTCAAGAATTTCACTCCAAATGCTCATATATTTAAAACTCTAAGAGAGTATTACAAATGACTTGGGTTCTTTATATAAAGCAACCACAAAACAAGGTGGAATACTCAAGAACACCCAAAATTGTGAAAAAATACATATTTTATGAATTAAAATATTAATTCCGTTTTTTGACTAAATGACTAAAATACCCCTAAGCACTTTTCACCAAATGACAAAACCATCCCTCCATGACCGGCCTCTTGGCATTACTAGGCCTTGAGAGCTTTTTCAGACGCTTACAATGGCAATTCGGACAATCAATCGTCGTAGAATTGATGCTTGAACTGTTGCGCACGATCATTTTTCAATAAATTTCGTTCATTATGGTCTCTGTTTAAAAACGTTCCAATTTTGGGAAGTTGTTGGAAAATGAAATTCCAATGACCGAAAACGTATATCAACCTCAAAATGCGAGTCATCTAGCCTCTGATCATACATAAAAAGTATATCAAAATGCAGAACTTCAAAGCACGATCGCAACAGACCCATACTTACGACAATCCAACATCTAGCGTATCAAAGAATTGGATGTTCTTCTTATAAAATCTAATATTGTCATGTTTCAAGCCCATCTTCTCTCTAAAAATTCTCTCGTTTAAGGCCACGCCATAACACATGCCATATGTCAAAACGAGCGGGTCATCGAGATCTAGCTCGTATCCGAATTTGAGCTTAATTGGACTTTAAATGATCGAGTTATGAGCATTTGAAAATCATCCCTAATGAGAAAATACAATTTCAATAAATGAAAACTGGTTCATCGAGGCCGTACTGCAATAGTGTAAAACACACTATTTTATGGTAAATTAAGCCCAGAGTAGTCCCGAAGGGTCCGATTGAGCCAAAATTTGGTACCTGGGGATTTCGACATTTCGGATCCAGTGGCAGTGGTCTGATATTGTTTTGAAACCCAAAAAATAGGGTTATAGTTATATGGTCCATTTTCATTTTCATACCATAGGATTTGAAAATCAAGTGTCGTCCAGTGGCATTGTAAGACCATCAAGTTGATATCCTAAGGACATCCACATAGTTATATGGTCCATTTCCATTTTCATACGGATTTGAAAATCAAGTTTCGTCCAGTGGCACTATCAGACCATCAAAACTAGTCAGAACGTGATGAACCTTTGTGGGTGTCCTTAGGATATCAAAAACTACCCTTTAATGCAATTTGAGGCCATTCCGACACTCCTTCAAAGTCGCCCAATATTAGGCTTATTACTACAATGTTCTCATGGTTTGACGGTGTCTCGGGCACCAGCAAGACCAGGTTTCAACCGGCTCTCTCTTTTTCCGCCCTGTGGATACAATTACATCAAAAATGACGTATAACAATGATAAACTTTGATTACTCACCAAAATGGTACACATATCCACCAACTTTGATTTCTTTCCAAAATGGAAACCATGTCCACCTCTGTGCAAGATCATCAACTATTTCTGTGAATTAGTTTTCTGATGTACAATTCAGTAGAATTTGTTGTTTTATTCACATAATTGATATAATCTGATCATAGATAGTAACATATGATGAAACTAAATCATAAAATGACATAATAGTTGAATGGCATAACACCAATCAAAATTACCATGAACATTATCAGTAGCCTATGTTGAAGAAATGCTATGTTTTCCACAATACGTCATCTTCTACACTTTTCCATGCATGTCATAAGCGCTCAAATTTAATACCTCTATTTTTTACAGTAATTCATCCTCTAATACATAGAAAATTATCACAAACTTAAATACACAGTTGCTTCTTACCCAATCATCATACCTTGCAAAGGTAACCAACATCAGAACTACCATTACAAAATTACACAAAAGACACACACCATATATTTTCAAATTAGATGCTCAACTTGTTCAAACAAAGAAACCATATGCTTAAATAATAGTGTAATATATCTCTCTATGATTAGATATCAAAAAATTCAAAAAAATATGTATTTACATTCAAAAAATTAATTAGATATGAGATTAAGGCCAATCAATGTTGCTCCTCTACCACGATGCTTTGGGTGTTACCCATATCTATGGGGACTTAATTGGGCCCTCAATAATGACACTCCTATACTAACACACAAAAGGAAAACAAATCAATAATATTTGAAGCATCTGAGAAAGCAATTTTCATGTAATAGATTCTATTATTACTATCAATTTCTTAACAATACTTCCTCAGTTATCTAATAATAATTATGAATTCTTAAATTTGAAAGAAAATGTGTCCTCAATATATGGAAGCTAAGTAACTAAGTAAATGTTCCACTTTTATAGAGTTTGGATGGTAGTTAACTAACACAAAATTGTTCACAATCAATAAACTTGAGTTATTAAAGTATTAAAGAAACAATACGTAATAATACTTCAATTAGCTTTAAAACCAAAACACAAAGACTGTACCTTGCACAATTACTCCTATCATGGCCTATGACCCCATAGCCACCACACTTTCTCTTACTTGTTCTCTCCTTGTGCCCTAGTTTGATTCTCAAATGGGTAGATGGTTGTCCCTTCGGCTTTGCATAAGTTGAAGCGTTTATAGTCACATGTGGGTTTGAAACCATGGGGAGGATGGGATCCACACATAGGGCAGGTGTTCCTAAGGATGTAGAGCTACTAGGGTTAGGATAGATTTGTTTTGCGGAAGCCTTCTCCTTATCTACTCTAGCAGCAACATTGTCGCATGCCTCATCTATAACCATTTTTGCATATTTATATACACTAGGACTCACGGCCACATTAGCTAATAGCATGTTGTAGCGTTGAAATAGACCATTATAGCACATGAAATATGTATCCTCACAATTGGGCCTTACTGGAATTCCATAACCATCATGAGTAACCCCCTTTGTCACGTCCTTTGTCCATCGATTCATTAAAAAGTATTGGGGTAACTCAAAGTTATTTTTTAAAACAAATACCCTAAGCATATGACTACAAGGGATACCCATGCGCTCATATATATGACAACTACGTGTTACTTTCTCCTCATTGTTACTGAATGCAACTGTAACAATGAAAGTGCATATCATCTCATCATCCTCTTGTACTTCACAAGTAAGATCAGTGGCCTTCATCAACTCTGGCTTAAAGAAGTTTTAAAAGATAGTTGGGTTGTAAATTTGAGTCATTTTCCTCTCTTCATGCGGGTTGCAATCTTCATAATTGGTGTTTCATTATGAGATTTGAAGTCTGCATTGTTTTCCTCATCAAACTTTTTATCAATTAACTCTTGAAATCGGCTAACAAAGATAATCAAGTTAGTATAGTAATTTATTATGCCTTAATATCCTTATTCATGGCTTCGCTTCTTTCACTGGTCCTATTGCCAATAGAGAAACAATCTTGCAAATATACATGTATCCACTGATGTCGGATTTCATATAGGGTCTGCTTCCAATCATTATTCATCAATTCTTATCTTTCTATCATTCTTCACCACTCGTCTTCAAATTCCATGATGGTGGTGCAATGGTCAATACATTTGTATAAATCCCCATGGAATGATGAATGTTTGTGCTCAACTTCCACCACTTTCTGCTCAATCTTTTTTGTAATATGCCATCTATATAACTGATGTCGGGATTCTGAGAATACCATTGCAAGGGCCATTTCCCTGTCTCGATCTGTGATAATTATCTTGGGCTGACGTCCATTCATCACCTCGAGCCACTTTGTGAACAGCCATGTAAGAAACTCCTGGCCCTCTCTATGGAGCAAAGCACATCCGAAGAATAGAGTCTTTGTATAGTGGTTTACTCCTAGAACTGGCATCCCATAGGCATTGGTTTTATATGTTGTATCAAATATAATAACATCCCCAAAGTACTTATAAGCAATCCTTAACTTTGCATCAAGCCATATCGCATTGGTTAAGCACCCGTTTTCATCAACTTGTATCTTGTATGCAAATAATGCGTTCATCGCACTCTTAGTAGAAAAGAACTCCATCAAACCTTCTGCATCCCCACCTACCAATTTTGATTTTTTTTTCTGATTGTTATATATTGCATTCTTGCAATCTACTTCCACAAAAGGGAGACTCCTTAGGCCTCCAACTTGTGTAGAAAATGGTTTCTTTATCTTTGGGCCAATTAACCACATGAGTTATACATGTAGATCATTTCACTCATGGCCTTCAGAATTGTACGATGTGATCGAAGAAGATGAACTTTGGATGGTGAAGTAAAGGCATGAGAATGATCTTTCTCATGTTTCTAAATCAGACGTTGTTTGTGAGCATACATATTCAAGAGCAATGAGTGACCCATCTTTTCTTGATCGACAAGTTGAAGAACATCGAACATTAAAACCCATTATTTTTGCATGTTTATTATAGAAACCAAATGCGGATTCTGGAGATTCAAACCACATACCTTCTTGTGGGACCTGACCATTAAATTCAAAAGTTTTGAATCTACCGTGCAAGTCTCATCCTGACTTGCATAAGAGTCGCTGCCATTTTCACCATCCACATGAATAATATCATCCGTTTCATTGTTGCTATACTCCTCAACAACAAGAATACTTGAAATTCGCTCCGCCTCCAAGTCAATTATGTTCTTTCTTCCGAGCTTTAGGTATGGACCCATAAACATGAAAGAAAATTCTAATTAGAATTAAAGACTTCTCCTTATCATATACTTATCAGGCTTTAATTAATACTCTTTTAACACTTCTAATATTTCTAAGATAGTTATCTTCATCACAAACAACAATAGCAACAAAACCATGAACACATAAATATCATAAGTGTGCTACCAATATACACATAAATTTTCTATCATCAACTAGCACCCTATTCTCTCTTTACGTACTCATCTATAAACACATCAAAAACTGTTACTGTACAGATAATTGCAACTCTTTATTCCTCATCCATATACAGAAAATATTTAATATTCTCATAAAGATTAGTGCAACTAGCATGTTGCTGCAAATTTACAAAAAAATTGCATCATCTGCAATTGCCAACATTTCATAACATGGTCCACATCAAATTCCTATTAATCCATGCAGGTAATGTGCATTAACAAGTATATAACACTCATTTATCTGACATAAATGAGTTCAAAACCAAAAAATAATAATATAAAGTTCAATTAATTGTTTGAGAAATATTGAAATGCCCTCTACGAATAATTTGCAAAAACCAAGAAAAAATCTAAGTTCCAAATAATAATTTTAAAAAAATATTGAAATCCTCACTACCAACAATTTGCAAAAGCCACGAAAATATATAAATATAAACTATAGAAGTGATCATTGTCATTTACTAAACTTAAAATTAATAAGATTTAAATATTTCAACAAAAAACTGAAATTTTCTATGAATGAGTATTTGAATACTTTAACATATTTTTTCTGTAAATTGTATAAACAAAAAAACTTTAACTTAATCCAACATATTGCTGTAAATTTACAGAAATTTTGCAGCATTTCTAATCTCCACCATTTCAAAATGCATTATACAAAATAGTTTTGGTATTTGCAATTTTTAGAAAATTCATTTAATTGAGAGATTAAATATTTCCCTCTTTTTATATTCCAGACATGTTGGTTTGATTTCTTTTGTTTGCTAGGCCTGATTCAAATTAAGTGGATTAAGATCCTAGATACTTTGTAGCCCAATTCCAAAGTAAATAACAAATCTAAATCCACCAAATTGTTGATCTTGAACGGAGAATGATTCTTTTGTAGTTCACGCTAATCTGATCACTATTTATCCAAAAAAGGTTTTTCCCCAAACCAAAAAGTACAAGGAAAAAAAAATGAAAAATAGATTCCGTGACTGAACCCAAGGTTCTTTCAAAATTGTGAATTTGGCATAATAAACATCCACCAAAAATTCAGGCAAGCAATGTATGCATGAACAATAGCTTTATATGGAACAAAATGAGGTGGAAAAAAAATGCAAGGCAAAAAAGAGAGAGAGAGAGAATAGCTCAGATGTACCAAAAACTTGATTTGCACAAAAGAATCATCATTACGGAAAAACAAATACCCAAAGAAATCACAAAAAAAGAAGAAGAAGAAGAAAAAAGTAGCCCATGTGTACCAAAATAGCTGATTTGGGGGAAAAAGATTTCACTATGACAAAAAAATAAATACCTAAAGCGATCGCTCAGAATTTCAAACTACAAAAGACACAATAGAGAGACGGCTTGCTTAACGTGTTGGAATTACAATAGTTGAAGAGGATTTCGAATGGCAGCAAATGTGAGCAGAGAGAGTCATCAAACTTTTTTCAAACTTTACAATTCCTCCTTGGCTTAGGTTAATTTCAAATGGAGCAAATGTGAGCAGAGAGAGTCATCAAACTTTTCTCAAACTTTACAATTCCTCCGTTAATTTCGAATGGCAGCAAAGGCTCAGAGGACATTTTCAAGCCCTAGCCCAAATGCTCTCCATCAATCTTCTCTCTCTGCACCCCTCTCTCTCTATATACTTTTTTTTGATGTACTCTTGTTTTTCCTCAATCTTCTCTTTTTATACCCTCTTTTAGCCTTTTCTCTCTCTAAGCTGCTGCGGCCTTTTTAATCCTAACTCTAATGCTCTCTTTCAATCTTCTCTCTCTGTATCTCTCTCTCTAAAAGGTTTCTAGCGAGTGCTAATAATCTGTTCTACGATGAACCTGATGATGGAGAGAGAGACGTTAAAGAGGAATAAAAGGAGAATTTGGAGGGAAATTGAAAAGGATAACCAAGACTTTCGGTTTTTCAGTTTCCCTCTTCTTTCCTCTTTTTAGTATTTACCGTCCATTTTATTGGACGGTGAAGAAAGGTGCGATTTGAAATAGGATTGTAACCTTATTAAAATATTTCCAAAATACTAATTCATAATTTTCTATTAACATCAAGAAGTTACTAGAAAATCAAAATCATGAAAATAAAGAAGTTACAAGAAAATCAAGAGGATAAACAAGTTCCAATTCAAATTAATTTTGCATTAATGCTATTTTCTAAAAAAATCATGAACTTGAAAAAGCTACTACTCACGTTACTAGATGACACACTTGTCCCAAAGAACCATGAATGAAACAAATCGAGAACTTATTCAAAATAAAAAAATAAAAAAAAATAAAGAAATTATTCATAAAAGAATCCAAGAAAATAATAAATTATTCACCAAAACACAATCCAAGAAAATCAAGAAATTTTTTACCAAAAAAACCAGGAAATTCAATAAATTGCTCACCAAAATAAAAACAAAAAAAAAAAAGAAATTATTCACCAAAACAAAAACCAATATATTAACATTGCTATCATGCGATTTTCAACTCACGAAAACTAAGATGGAGACAAATCAAAGAACATGGTATTCCTGATGAGAATGATTCTTCTTCTCATCAAACCATCCAATGACCAACCAAAAAGCAAATGAGATTAGAAAATTTGTTTCATGCGCGCTAGACCGCATTTTTACATATGCGGTCCTAAAGTACAAAAGTGTTAGCACACAATTCAGTGATCCATTTAAAAACAATTGAAATTAACGTTCGAAATGTTTTTTACTAAAATAGATTTTTAATATGTGCCTCATTTCTACATGGATTCTTAGTAATCGGGTCCATTAGATTATGGCTACCTTTTTTTTCTTTTTTCTTTTTTTTTCAAAAAATACTGGTGAGACTGGTGGGTGGGGCGGTATGTTGAGGCATCCGCCCCCCTAATCAGCCCTACCCCAACCCGCAATAAGGTTACAATTAGGAGATAAAAAATACAAAATAAGTACGAAAATCACATAATATAACATACTTATAAAAGTTCATGAAAAAGAAGATTTTTCTTTCTTTTTTTAAACTTTAATAAAAATAAATAAAGAGTGCAAAAGTACAAGAAGATAATATTAAAGAGAGAGAAAAAGAAGATATTATAAAATGAGAGAAGAAGAAGAAGATTTATGTGCGAGAGAGAGTGTGTACAGTGATTAAAAGAGAGGCCAACTCCATGAATAGTGAACAAATGTGCAAATCCAAGATAACTCTTCCTAGAGGAATAAGAGAAGAAAACCAAAAAGAAAGCACACGAACAAAATGAAAATGAAAAACACACAAAGAGAAGAGGAAGAATACAAGTTAGAAAAGAAGAGGGAACATGCCTGAAAAGTGCCTTTACTCGTATTTTTCTACGTTTTCTCTCTCTCACCAAGCCCTGATTATGTCGCGCAATTATCTGATTTAATCTTCAACATCTGCGGCCTTTTTTAATACATAACACCAGTGTTTAAAAAAATGCCGAGTCGAACCGGACTCGCCCGGTTCGACTCGGGAATCGCCATGGAGGGATCGAATCGCTATAAAAAACGGGAATCGTCCGGTTCTAGAGAGAACCGGACAATTCTTCACAGTGACTCGCCGATTCACTGTACGGAATTGGCGAGTCCCGTAAAGAACACGGGTTGCACAGTGTTCTTCACGGGATTCTTCGAAATTTGTCATTTTTTTATCATTTTTCTTGTTTTTTTTGGCATGTGATCTAATTTGCAGGCTGTAAACAGCTTTATTCAGCTTTTACACGGATTAAATGGTTGAAAAATTTGGTGTTTTTGGATCACGAAACTTGCATTTTTAGGGTTTCCGCCTTTCCTTGTGTTTCATGCCAAATAGGGCATGAATCTGTCAAAATTTGTAGGCATTTTGATCGTAAAGTTGTTCATCAAAACCTTTTGTTACTAATTTGTGATAATCGTTGAGAAAAACAGAGTTTTTTGGAGATTGAAGGTTTCGGTTCACAAAATCGGGTAAGAAGTTTGGGTTTTTTTTTTTTCCTCCATATGATTAATGTCACTGCATATTTTGAAGATAATGAGTTCAATTTGTAGGGTTTTTAATCTTTATTGTGTCTATTATGATTTAAAATTTTCAATTTTTATATAATTTGGTCAATTACAGCATGAAATTTGAGATGAACACAGAGATGTCTGCGGAACCAAAATTTAGCTTTTTTTTTTTTTTTTTTCATGATAAATTAGAAATAATGTGTGAAAAATTTAGGGTTTTGATTATATTGTTGTTTATCAGAAAATGTACTCACTTGGATGTAATTTATTCACTTAGAGGTGGATTTTTTAGTTAAAATGGCTTATGTAAGATGGCTCAGTGAGAAACAGATTATTATTATTATTTTATTTTTTTTGTGTAATCCATGATCGAATTTTTTGTAATACTTGATCGATTTTTTTGTAATCCATGATCGAATTGTTTTTTTTTTTTTTTTTAATCCATGATCGAATTTTTTGTTTTTTGTTTTTTTGTAACCCATGATAGAATTTTTTGTAATCCATGCTTGAATTTTTTGTAATCCATGATCGAAATGTTTGTTTTTTTTCTTGTAATCCATGATCGAATTCTTTGTTTTATTTTTTATTTTTGTAACCCATGATAGAATTTTTTGTAATCCATGATCGAATGTTTTGTAATCCATGATCGAAATGTTTGTTTTTTTTTTGTAATCCATGATCGAAATGTTTGTTTTTTTTTTTTGTAATCCATGATCGAAATGTTTGTTTTTTTCTGTAATCCATGATCTAATTTTTTGTTTTTTGTTTTTTTTGTAACCCATGATAGAGTTTTTTGTAATCCATGATTGAA